GCTTTATCGATAGTAATGAACTTCGATTTGTAACTTCCTGAAATATCACACCATTAAGTTCTTATGTGGTGTGTATTTTTAATATTGGATGTTCGTATGCATTGTCAATTGTAAAATTCAGGAATTAGAACATTATGCCTTGCGATTCTATTTCTAGACAGTGACTTTGTCATACCAATGTCAACATACTAATGAAATCATATAGAGTTGGGTTCAGGGAATGGCATATAATTGATTTCTCATAAAACCTTGGTTGACACAGATACTGTACTGGCAAGGACGACATTTTCAAAGTCATTCACATTCAGCATGTTATGGAACACATTCTGAGATACCAAAAACTTTCTATTTTGCATTTATAAAACCTTTTAAATTACGCACAAAAGCCACGAAAATGGAAAAGATCATTTTGTTTACAAAGAAACTTATTGAATTTTAAAAAAAAAAGGAAATAATATGGAAGAAGTAAATTTCTAAAAGTTATTAACTGAACATGAAGGCAATCTTCAATGTGATTAATTATAGTTGAGAACACAACTGATAATGTGTTAAACCTTATCATCATTATTTGCTAAACTTGTTAATCTTACTAATGCCTAAAAGATATCGAATCTTGAGTGCTATTGAAAGAAACTGGCAAACAAAGGTCTATCCTTCACACAATACCTTTTCATTTTGTTACTGCGAAAAATAAGTTTCACAAAATCAGAAATTTCATTGTATTATTGAATCTGCTGAATGACATTTTAGTTTTTTGTTTGAAACAATCGGATTGTATCTTTAAATACTGCTCTGATGTTGCTCAAACGCAATCATAAATTACTACATTTCATTTTTTTTTTTTTCAATCTAAACTAAATTCATTGCTACCTGTACTACCTAGGCGTAACAATAGATTTCACACACGAATAAACTAGCTTTGTGATATAAGAGCAACTGACTAAATCTTAAATTTTTCACAACTGAAAAATTATTACTGATAATATTGTTCGTCTCATTTTGATGTAAAATCGTTGACTCATGAAAAAACTGCTACGTCCTTCAATTTTTTTTTTTTTTTTATAAAGGGCGGCATGCGAGGCAATTCTTCTGATATTCCGTCATTGTTTAAGCGACGCACCAAAGTTGATTTAAGAGTTATCGTTTTATATGACCACAATTTACTTCTTACTCGTCTGCAGCAACGTTCCACTTTGGACGTTCTTTTTATCTAACACATGAAAATAAAAAAGTTTTAAAAGAAATATTTGAGGAAATTTGCAAGCTCTCAGATAATATTTAAGCAATTGACAGATTATCAATCTTCAGCAGCAGATCCGCTTGATACAGTGTTTTACAAATCGTTGCATTAAATGACAGAATAATTTCAATAATCATGACTACTAGACGTCTCTATCAGACTGTACATCATTTCTACAACTAAGCAGCTTTCCATCGTTAATTTAAAAAAATTTCCAACTCCTGCAAGTAGCACACAACAACGAACCCGGAATGATTGGAAATTTCATCTGAAAATGAAACTCTAATTTAAGGGCACAAAATAAGAAAAGTCGAGAAATCTAACGCTGCTTATGCTTATAGGTTAGTTAACAGATTCGTTGTTGAATTTCAGAAGTTCTATTAGATTCGTCCCTTGCTAATTAATTCCTGCTTTCCAGTTATATTGTTATAACATTGGTACTGCTGTCTCGTCGTATCTGCTTTTATTCTGATAGATCTATGTTAGTGTTTGGTGCTGACCTTTGTTCCTCTTTGTTCAACTTGCTTTATAGATGTTTGCATTTTTCAGTCACTTAATTTCAAATCACTTAACTTCTTTTAACCAATATATTTTCACATTAAATGAATAAATAAATATTAATGATATATGTAAATTAAACTTCAATAATCGATATTTTACTATGGTATAGGCGTTTTGTAAATGAACCAAAAGAAAAAAAAAGATTTAAAAACAACACAAAGGAGAAATGGAATTGGTAACTGATGGAAATATAAATAAGCTGTAAAGAAAATGCCCAAAACAAAATATTTACCACTTGTCGGAAAACTTTCTTTTCTTTTTACTTTATTACAGAAATTTCCCTGCATACAACATAATGACAATAAGTTTCCCGAATATTCGATCTCCTGTTTATTCATTCTATTTTTTTGGATAGCATAATAATTAACAATTAGTTTATTTTTTCGGATAAATTTTGATATTTATTGTTTGTTTGCTGCATCTGGGATTTTTTTGCTCCAATAGAAGTCAATGATGTGAAAAATTCGAAAAACAGCCCTGGTAATTTTCCTCTAATTTACTTGTTTTTTCTCTGAAATTCCAAACTCCTAATTTAAAAACATTCAAGACAAAAATTCTAAAAGTAACGATTTGTGCAAGGTTATTCAGCATCTAATATCTTTTAATCATAAGAAAAAATATAGATGACTTTAATTCAGCGATTGTATCCTTCACTGATTATTATTGTATTTTCGAGATGGAATAAAAGACAAGCTCGACTGCTACGACTGAACCATTTTCTGTATTCAACATATCACTTACAATATATATCAAACTAGTAAGTAAAATCAAATTAGCAAGAAAAGTTGTTTCGAATTCTTTCAGCAAAAGATCGTGAATTGAGAATAAAGATAAATTTGAGAACGATTCAATTAACCGAGCTTATCTCAACACTTCTTTCTGATTCTTACATTTAACTTCGAAAATATTAAATGTTTAGACACTTCAAGTAATTTGTACATGCAGCACTAATATTGCAGTTGAAAATGCACAATTTTTCAATAGATTTCAAATATTTGGTCGATTTGTCTTAATGAATATAAAGAAAAATAGGCGGCATATTTCTCTAGTTCAGCGATGCTGAATGAAGTTGCAACAAAATATATAAATTCTAGTTTCATTAGACATTTTTTTTTTCGATGATTTTGTTATCGATCTCACTAAAACATATATCACGTAAAACGCTATAAACGATTAGCTTATTTCCAAACGTTCAGATGGAATTTGCCCCTATGAATAACACTAATTTTTCATTAACTATTCAAAGATTCAAAAAATGCGACATTCCCCATTTTTCTCAGAAGAAATCTTGGAATCTTTGAGTATTGACTTATATTTGTCACTTCTAGTGCAGAGTGTGCTTGCTTCTATTATTATATTATGAATTACTCAGTCGTAAGATGATATCACTTTATTCATACCATTACCCAAGATCTAATCTTGACTAATTTTGACAGAGGAATGAACGTGCGCCATTATCAGCTACTAGTTATCGTTGCTGTGGATATTTTAAAATTATAAAGCATTTTCAGGAAAATAATGTCCCTTATTTTTGAAAAAGCTTTTACAATTAATTAACCTCCCTCCTCATTATGATTTGGATGATCTTATGAATGTTAGACAATTAACTTAACCTACTCTTCACTGTGCGGACATAGTTATCTCTTAGATGTCGATTGTTGTATTCCCATCGATTTGCATCGAATTGTTTAGTCATTGTATTCAGCATGACGATGATGAGGATTGTGAAACTGAGTCCAATAAGTTTGGAAGTGGTGGCACTATTAGAGGATAATATGACGATGCCAAAAAGCCCCGGCTATTTTAATTAACTAAATGAAAGGAAACTCCTCAGACACTTCAATTTTGAAGAAAAATAAAAAAGATGCAGATGAAGATACTTTGTTAATTAACTAACTGAAACTTTGAAAAAACAGTTGAAATAAGATTTAAGATGGCAAACCGAATAACTTGCTCCGCACCTATTTTGTTTTAAATCCGCTTCGAATAATCGGATTAGAACTTTAAAATTAGAATTAAAATGATAAGCAAATGCATCCGAATGTTTCAAGTACAACACCGTGGATTGCAATGAAAGATATCAACGAACGGAACTATGAGAATTGTAACTTGTACATTGTAGAAATGGGAGAAATGGAAATTCAGAAAAGTACCACAGATCATCGTATGGCGGTTCATTACTGCATGAATTATATCCCTTTGTTGTGTGTTTTTAAATAATGACCAATGGATATGTGTTCAGGATGTGTTTGCTCCCTAAATATTTCATGAAAATGATGAGATGACCCAAATCATTATATAGTATATAGAATAGTGCTAATTCAATAAAAATTACAGGAAATTGTTTCACTTCAACAAATAAAATAAACATCGAAACATAAGTATGTATAAATGAGACTTCATTTACAGTATCAGCGAGAAAAAAGAAAACTTGAGTATGACCAATAACCATGCATACATGACCAGAAATATGTATATATTGATGGAAAAGAAAGAGAAGACATTACCCGATGTGTTATAACCAATAGAATGCGAAACAAAATTCAACCAAAGTTTCATCTGATTCTGAAGAAGTAAATTACATAAATCTTCAAATGGTCCAGATTTTGAAGAAAAATATAAAAAACACAGCAAATGAATATGCTTAATATGCTAACTAACTGAACCTTTGAGAAATCATAGAGATGAATAAGATTCTAGTTGGTAAACTGAATAAATTTGCTCCAGTTAATGACAGTGTTTTAAATTCGCATCGAACAAGAAACAAACATACAAAATGATAGAAATCATCCGGGTACACCATAAACGGGGGAAAAAATAGAACAGGAGATAAGAAAGGCAATGAAGAATATATAAAGAACAGGAGATAAGAAGAATATATGTCACAAACAAAAAACTGAGCCTTGCTGATTACAAAAGGTCAATAAAATGTGAAGATTTAAAACAAATGATAATATTGAAAACCAAAGCAGCATTATCCTAAATGCCAATATTATATTAAGTAAATCAGTAGATGGATATTTAAGAATTTAAGATTTAACATTAAACTTTCGGAGGAAGAATGTGAACCTTAATAGTTCATATTGACAATAAAAATATATGATTCGTAAAATCTTCAACACAATTTTCGTTCTGCCTTCAGCAACAGATAATAGTACTTAGAGCGGATTATATAACTATGTAAAGAAATAACAGAGTGTTATCTTAATTTAGAAACCACGGCTTTAACTTCGATTAGTGCTTCCGCTTCAGCTTCATCTAGATGTTCAATCATTTCTACTTTTTCCAAGTATTTTTTGGCAAGTTCTTTGTTTTTCATTACGGCATAACAACGTGCGATATAGAGTAAATTCTCAGGCCATGCGAATGGTGAATATTTTTCAGCCTATAATATGATAGCAATAGTTCGAGAAATGAGTTTTCGAATCAGCATACTTTAAGAAATAGAACAGAAACATACTTAGAGTGTATAAAATTAAATTTTAAATATTGAAGTTAAAATACGATGTTTAACGAACCTCCAAAAAATCGCTAAGAGCTTCATCGATTGTACCATGTGGAACTTCAGAAAACAATGCACTGCATAATCGTTTCTCGATCCATGTAAGATTGGCGACCTCATATGAAAAACGTCCACGTGAATGAAGCAATGAATATTCGGTCGATTGCATCTTTATTGCGCGATCCAAATATGCCTGAATTATAGAGACAAAAAAATACTCCAAGGACAACTTTATGGGCAACAAGCAATAAAGCATATGTTTTAACACGAGTAAGCTGTTCCAGAGCATTTATTCTTATTGCAAAAAGCCTATACGCTTCTATGCTATCTCATTATAATCATCTAATTGAAGAAAATAAAAAAATGATTTCTAAATAATATAGAATAGAAGGATGCAAAATTAATTTGCACACTGAAACTTTATGTAATATCAGTGTAGAAGTGTGCAACAAAATTCCTTCACTTTGCGAATATTTCGAGGTTTTGGCAACTACAGAATTACGTTTGAATAAAACAATGTTAAATAAATTAAAACCTTGAAAATCTTGCCCTGCTCAATTTTTTCTTTGGGTCCAAGGAAATCAGTTGCAGAGCCAATCAGGATTGCCGCCCATCTGAGTGCTTCAGCATTATTCTCATCGATTGTATAAGCTGACGTTGCATATGTCCGACCTGTAAAAGTGAACAACTCTATCATTATTTATCTACTTGAAAATGGTATACATTAATTGTTCCTTCATTTAATCAGTGCGAAACGGCGAATACTGAAAACAAAAAATGTGTAAATTCCATTCAATCATGATTTTTAATTTCATTTTCACTCCATTTTTCAGACTTGATCTATATGTGTATAATGTTTGAAATATTTCCTTTTCAATTATAGATAATAAAAATTAAAAAACCAGATAAGGGTGCTATAAACGATGTGCTAGTATGAAATAACATCATTTTGACCTACATCGCGCAAAAAACTCCCAATTGACTGATGTAAAAATTTACAAGACTGAGACGGCTCGGTGTAATGAGACTGCTATAAGCATTACTTACCGGAATGTTACGAGTCAATTAATTAAAATGATCATAAAATAATATTAACTAGTGTGGCATGAACTTGGTTGAAGCAATTCGTCTGTTTCAATTAAAGGAATTGTATAAAAACTTCAATCAAAAAAAAAACCTTCGAGAATGAGCAACTTCTTCTTCGGATCCTTCTTTTGTAAAGTATTAGCCCACAAAAAACATGCTTTGCCCAACCGCCACAACAAATCAATGTTAGTTTTTATTTCTTCGCTGCTATCATAAATCTGGGGAAGAAAAAACATTTAAAGAACATGCAAATAAATGTTAGAGTATACAGCATTTTAGGGCAGTGTATATAAAAAAAGGCATACTTCTTTCAGCTGTTCATATACTACTTTTGGGTTATCATCTATCGCTTTATCAACTTCTGCGAAATCCTGAAAAAAACTCATCATCGTTTGTTCCACTCTTAAATTTGATTAAAATCTTAAAAAAAAATCAGAAAAAATCGAATAATGATTAAATCTAAAAACATTTATTCGAATTATTAAAAGTCTAAACCTTTTAAATTTAAAAGCACATTGAATTATTACTGTTTGGGGTTTTCAGCTTGATCCTTGTTTTGTTCAGTAAAAGAAAAATCTCTCTGTGATCATTTAAAATTATTCATCCCGCGTGCATTTGAAAAAAAATGATTAAAATCTAATCAATGCAAAGAATTTTTTGTAAATTCGAAAGAATTTCAATAAAAAATTAGATTTTAGAAAAACTTTAATAAAATTTATATGACAAAATAATCACACCATTCTTTTTGCACCAAAAACGCTATATTATAGAAAGAGATTTCTCTAAACAAACTTTGTCGGCATTTCACCAAGAAAACACACATAAAGGTTATCTTTTCAATTTATCAAGTCATATCAAGTATTTTTGAGTTTAATAATTGATAGTTGCGACAATGGGTGCGACAAATTGAAGACTTCAGTAAATGCATCTTTCTTTCTAAAAGAAGAAAAGACGGAAATTTCTTTTAAAATAACTTAAACTTAATAAAATGTTGGAAATGGCCCGAATAGATTTTAAACATGCTAAGTTACTGTACACTACTTATATTTTCGACAGTATGAGCAGTATATTTACTTAAATTGTGAAATTTTTTCCCAATGAACAATATAGAGAAAAATTATTATTATTATTATTATTATTATTATTATTATTATTATTATTATTATTATTATTATTATTATTATTATATTATTATTATTATTATTATTATTATTATTATTATTATTATTATTATTATTATTATTATTATTATTATTATTATTATTATTATTATTATTATTATTATTATTATTATTATTATTATTATTATTATTATTATTATTATTATTATTATTATTATTATTATTATTATTATTATTATTATTATTATTATTATTATTATTATTATTATTATTATTATTATTATTATTATTATTATTATTATTATTATTATTATTATTATTATTATTATTATTATTATTATTATTATTATTATTATTATTATTATTATTATTATTATTATTATTATTATTATTATTATTATTATTATTATTATTATTATTATTATTATTATTATTATTATTATTATTATTATTATTATTATTATTATTATTATTATTATTATTATTATTATTATTATTATTATTATTATTATTATTATTATTATTATTATTATTATTATTATTATTATTATTATTATTATTATTATTATATTATTATTATTATTATTATTATTATTATTATTATTATTATTATTATTATTATTATTATTATTATTATTATTATTATTATTATTATTATTATTATTATTATTATTATTATTATTATTATTATTATTATTATTATTATTATTATTATTATTATTATTATATTATTATTATTATTATTATTATTATTATTATTATTATTATTATTATTATTATTATTATTATTATTATTATTATTATTATTATTATTATTATTATTATTATTATTATTATTATTATTATTATTATTATTATTATTATTATTATTATTATATTATTATTATTATTATTATTATTATTATTATTATTATTATTATTATTATTATTATTATTATTATTATTATTATTATTATTATTATTATTATTATTATTATTATTATTATTATTATTATTATTATTATTATTATTATTATTATTATTATTATTATTATTATTATTATTATTATTATTATTATTATTATTATTATTATTATTATTATTATTATTATTATTATTATTATTATTATTATTATTATTATTATTATTATTATTATTATTATTATTATTATTATTATTATTATTATTATTATTATTATTATTATTATTATTATTATTATTATTATTATTATTATTATTATGATTTCTCACCGACATACCGTCATCTTTTCAGTTGCGCTTTGCGTTATTTGTTGGGGATATTGATTGGAAATATCTACAACTGATGCACAACAATCTAAAATTTCAAATAATTATGATGAAAAGAACTTTGAATAATATAAAAGCTAAGATGAGGACAACAATAATCGAATTAAACAAATGAATCAAAAAATCAACAAATCAAAAGCCAATAAATATAATGGTCAAAGTCTATGGAATTTCTTCTAATAATGTAATAATAATAATAATAATAATAATAAACAATAATTAATAATAGTAATAAGAATAACAATAATTAATGGTAGTTGATAATAATAGTAAAAGTTATAATAGACTGATTTGAATGTGAAATTAAAAATTCTACCTTTCAGACAACGTTGTCCTATAAGAGAATGAAAAATAGAAGCATTTTTTGCAATACTACATCAATAAAACTGTGAAAATTGGATGAAAATTACATAACACATGTGTTGTTTACACCTATTTCTGACAGTGTGCCAAATAACTAAAGAACTGTAACGGAGTAAACTGATGGAACTACTTTGGTAGGTATCTCTAAGCTGAAAGTACTATGAAGATGATGAAATTTTCTTGTCACTTAACTTGTGACAAAATAGTGGGCTTTGTCATCGAAAAATAAGAGAAAGCAAAACGCTACCCGCTCAACATCTTCGATTTTGGGTCGATCAGCAAGAACTCTAGGAAAACAAGTGGCGCGGCGAAGGGTACCACCAATATTTACAGTGGAACAATCACCCATACGACGACCAACCCGGAAAATCTGTATTACTAATTTTATTTAGAATTCAAAACAAAAGCCTCGAGGAAGAGATTTTGCTGGGTACATCCGTAAACCAAAGCTTTACAAAGTATACTTGCTAATCTTAGGAAAGTGGATTTGTTCTTCACTTTTATTAACAACAAGAGTCGATTGTACAGCTTGTTATCTTCACCCGTTGAGCAGTCTAGATTAGGGCCATTAGTTACTGTAGAGGCCCAATTTTTGAATGAAAATTAACTGTTGAATGAGTCTTTTTTCAACATATGCATTTCACAACTAGTCATTTATCAACTGTTTTGTATTCACCGTAATTTTGAATAGGAAAAACAAAAAGAAACACCGTCAGTTCTTCCTATTAGCAATGTCTTTATAACAATTTCCCATTTTTATTAACAGAATGAGCAAAAATTATTGGAATGACTCTGAGCAGGATGTTTCAAACCAGTAAGCGACGAGTATATGGCCGCTCTTCAAGTTCATATCTTCCCGATGAAATTTCCGAAGAAATCATGAAAACAGGTTCCCTATGGAAAACGATGTGTACTGCTCTTGTACCGTTACGTTACAAGTCGCCTCGATAACAGTAGTTTAACGACAAATGAAATACACTGAGAAAAGGACTTCTTGTCACTCACATTGCACCATTTAAAAACAATTTGAATTGCGGACTATGAAAGAAAAACATTCCTGCGCTCTAAAAATATAAAATAGTATGGGCTGTTTGTTTGAAGTATCTCCTTACTTTATAGAGAAAAGAATTTCGTCAAAAGAAGCGATCGCAAAGGAGGAGGGAGCATGAAAATATTGAAAAAATTTAAATTCTTAATTTGACTTTCTAAAGTTTGTTTTGTTTGAGAATTAATTGCGACAGAAACAATTCAGTTATCCAAATAACCCAGCCGGTGAATAGTGTAAGAAACACTTGATGGCGGCCTTTAAATGGTTGTTTTAAAAAAAAAATTCCTTACTAGGAAATACCAAGCATGACAATATCATCATCTCATGTTAGTGTCTGTGAAGTTCGGGAGAATATAATTTGCTATTAAAAAAAAGTAAACATAGAGATTTTTCATGCCTATCCTAATAAATATATGTATAATACTTTTATAATACAAATTCTTCAATGCACGCATATGAAATCAAACTAGATGTATAATACTTTTCCATATGAAGATGATAATCAGAATTAAGAATGAACAGGAAGATAAATTTTATTTCCTCTTATTAAGCATTCGTTTTCAACATTTCTTTCGATTCATATTACACTGAAATCAATTTCAATTAGCAATTTAATTATTAAAAACTTTATATTCCCTAAGAGCTTAGTGGACCCCTTAGATGCTTGATGGGAATTTTTCAATCTGAAGGATATCTCAATATTAATTCTATTTTCATTATATCAGATAAAAAATAGGATATAACAGAAAAGGAAATAATATAGCATAAATAACTACCACAATACCATAATTTCCTCAGTTATTCAGCAAATGTATATTTCGAAAAACATTTAAAAATATTTATATCTTCTACTGCTCACTCATTATATACAGCACATCACTGAAATTCATTATTTCAGATGCTTGTTTACAGATTAAAAAACTTGTCCATATTGACATTTTTAAGCTTCTCATCCTGAATATCTAACATATTTTTAACAATCTTTAGAATATATCTCAACTTTCCATGCCTCGCTTTCTCCAACTGTGAAAAAAAAAATTTCGTTGCACATGGGGACAGCTTTATCAGATGCTGATTACACTACAAGATTTTTGCTTTTTCAACATTACAACCATATTCCTCTGTTCTAATTACTGTAACTACTACTATTTAATAACCAAAATTGATGCACTTCTCACACTGAACGCTCTGGTCAGAAAGACCGGATTGCTGCTGATCGCAATCTTCACCAGTCACTGAATTTCGATTTCCGGTTGACGCAATGTGAGAGTATACCGTTCTAAGCTTATTTCTTCATTTAGCATTTAGCATTGGCTAGATGGAAACTTTTATAATGTTATCATCAACAGATGCCGATGTTGAAAATATTATTCAAAAATTGTTTAACCCCAAATTTCCTATGTAGCTTAAAAGATAAGATTAACAAATGGCAACCAAACACAAATAATACTTTTCAATCAGGGGATTCTGCAGAACATTTCCAAGCAAAGTTCTGAACGACTACTGAATAATCACTGGAAAGAACAGAAAGCATGTAGTTGATCAAAAAATTATCTTACCATTCAGTAGATCAAAGACTCTTATTGTCTAAAAGACTGATTCATATCAGTCTATACATAAAATAAAAAAGATTGTTCCAATATATGGGAAAAGAGAAAGATATCATTTTAGATAGATGATAAAAAGAGTGTCCATAATGATATATTGATTGGTGTTGAGAACTTATCAGTTGAACACTGACAAGATGATACTGGCATTGAAGCATTCAAGCAATTAACAGATGCATTACTGATAAGGTGGTTATGATACGTTACAATTTATAGAAGTGTAGCGGCATAAGAGAAAAGAATGACAACTTTAAAACTCAACATTCATTGATGGAAATAAGGAGTGCACTTGAAGGGAGGGAAAAAAAGAAAGGAAACAAGCTTCTCCAAAAAAAAAAAAAAAAGTGCACTGATGCTTTAATTCAGCTCCCTACACCACATTAGTAAACAACCATTAGCGCCTACATCTCCAATCTGCTGTGATCGTTTTCCCATCACATTCTACGCATATGATACTAGGGTGAATGCTTCATCTCATTTCATGGTACTTCTCGAAGTGGCGTCATTTTCGTACATTACACACTTAGCACACCAATAATTACCTTTCTTAATGCAAGTCATATCAATCTACAGATGAAACGAAGAAGACTGTTGCAATATAAAAAAAATCATTGAACAACATAATGTTCATGTATAAGGGCAAAAGGTTATATAATCCCAAAAGTAATGCAAAAACTTTTTGGGAATCTTTATCGACAACTACAATTTGACAAACTTACAACTACCAGAATATGTCTAATTAGTAGCTAACTCATGTTTGCCGATCGCAGAAACAGAATTCTGGAAGTGGACAAATGAGAATAAGTAACCGAATATATTAACATATACTGACGCTGTGGAAAGTGAATTAAATCAATAAATAACAATACTGAAGCCATTACAAACGTTCCTAGTAAAACAAAGACGCAGTGTCCAGCAATATTTACAAAGCATGAAAACTTTGCAAGACCATTCATAAACTGACCACAAAATAAGTTATAAGTTAGGAGACAACAGCGGTTTGCTAATTCTTGCTAGAATGCAAACATAAAAATCCACTTTTTCAAACTCCGTACTTTCCTAGCTTGCGAAAGTAGCATATAAATACTAATAGTACTATTAGAAAATTGATTTCTTTCAAAAGAGTATAAAATTCATTTCCTTCTCTTGTTTTTTCAATCAACTTCAACATAGATTTATACTTAAGCAGCTTTTTATCCTAGCTTTCATTCACTTGTACTCCAATGTAGTAAAGGATAAAACTTGTGTTCATCGATGTTACATTACAGTAACTACGAACATAAACTTATTGCAACCATACAAATTTCTGGGGCTTTATCAACTGCTCACTGCTTTTTGTAAAATAGTTTCAGCAATTTAAAAATCAAACTTCAAAAATCCACATACTGCCATTTTTGAATTTGCGTATATAAAATAATCTTAATAATATACAGGAAAAGTGTTAACTATTCAGTTTTTAAATTGATAGTGGAAGTTTCAAATTGAAATGATGGATATTCTGCATACGGCAGAAATAAGAAAGTTTTTATTTACGAAAAACTGATGTCGCATAAAGTATCGACTTTGCAATATGCTGAATAAAAATTAATTGCTGATCAGAATATATGTTAAGCTATATAAATCGCCACAGGAAAAGTAAAACATGTAATCTAAAAAATACTTAAGATCAAGTAATAAAAAAATTATATTCTAATTCCTTTTAGATCTCATTGTAATATGCAGTAGCCCTTGTTAACAACGTCAATTATTTTGACAAGTTGAAGCCACCACTACCGCTTTTCCAAGCTAAGCATTAAATACTTTTCCAGTAAAACTTCATTAATCATTTTGAACCGAATATTTCGATTTTAAAACCTGCTTTCTGAGTTGATAAGTCCATCTGCGAAAACCAGAACAAAAAGTAGTATAAAAAAAAGTATAACCTCGAAGACGCTTTTACGAAGACGTAAAAATGATATTCTTTTACATCAGCTTAACTTTTTAACTTTTCGTACTATTCATTTTTCATTAATTAAGATCAATATATTAATAACAAACCTCCTTTCATAAGATTTCTCCTCTTCTCAATCTCTGCACATGAGAATAATATGCACATCTCGCATATCTCTGAAATAACGAGGGATTCTCAAATCCACTTGTAACCAATCACAGTGAATTAACTGAAAAGAAATATGAAAATGAAATACTCGTCAAAATGGAAAACTGTCCCCTTAATACATTGGAAATAAAACTGTAATTCAGTTAAAAAACATAGCCTAAATTAATATGTCAAAGAGACTTCAGGAGTGCAACCGAAAGCGAAATCCACTCAGTTCGGATTGATGCTTGTACATTTAAATGTTACTGATTAAATAAGAAACTATTAGTAGCAATTACATGTTGCACTAGCATTCCTTTCTTTTTTTAATTCCTTTAATAAGGTTTTCCTTCTTGAAATAATTCTTTCTCCGATTTTTCAAAAATTTTTGGAGCATTTAAGTCGAGCAACCGCATTTAGATCATTTACCTTTTTAGAAAGCACAATAAGAACTAAAGCATCTTAAATCAACCACTTCTCGCATCAA